ACCTGTTGCTGGTCAACAAGGCGGATATGATGACGCTGGAGCAACGGAAAGCATGGGCCGACTACTTCACCGAAGCGGGCATCAACTACAAGTTCTTCTCGGCTGAACTCGCCAAAGAGATGAACGAGGCTCGTGCTGAGTTGGAGGCAAGCGACGACGAGTCGGACGATGCCGGCGACTCTGACGAGCTGGTGACTGATGAAGGCGAAGACTTTGAGGAAGAAGACGACAAGCTCGCAAAAGAAGCCAAGAAGATTGACCTGCAAGACAAGCAGGAAGAGAAGGAAAAGTGGGTGGACGAAGAGACAGTCGATGTACCAGGCGCGAGCCAATCAGAGGCAGACGGCGACGAGCGCACGCGGATATTGACAACAGAGGACCTTGAAGCCCTGTTCCTCCAACATGCGCCTGATGTTGATACCGGACCAAACGGCGAGCCGCGAAAGACTTCAATCGGTCTGGTCGGTTACCCCAACGTCGGAAAGTCGTCCACGATCAACGCGTTGATTGGCGCAAAGAAGGTGTCGGTTTCTGCAACACCCGGAAAGACCAAGCATTTCCAGACCATCCATCTCAGCGACAAGGTCATGCTCTGCGATTGTCCTGGTCTAGTGTTCCCCAACTTCGCCACAACCAAAGCTGAGCTCGTGTGTGCTGGTGTACTTCCAATCGATCAACTTCGCGAGTACACTGGTCCCGCGGGTCTTGTCGCACGTCGCATTCCGCAACCCTTCCTTGAAGCGCTCTACGGAATGAAGATCCACCCCCGACCTATGGAGGAAGGCGGAACTGGTATTCTGACATCCGAAGAAATTCTACGTGCCTACGCTATCGCCAGAGGCTTCTCCACCCAGGGTCTTGGTCAGCCAGACGAGTCTCGAGCGGCGCGATACATCCTCAAGGACTACGTCAAGGGCAAGATTCTCTTCTGCCACCCTCCACCCACCGACCCACCGCTAGACCCCAAGCACTTCAACCGCGAACTCTACGACGTCGACCATCTTCCCGCCAAGCGCCGACACCACCCTCTCGCCTCTCTTCCTGGTAACACCTCCCTCGCCGGTGCACTAGACGATGACATGTCACTGATGGACGACGAGCTCGACGCCGGCGTACCCGTCCAAGGAGAGAAGACACAACGCATGGACAAGCGCTTCTTCGGCCCCGGACAAGGTATGGGTAGGGTTAACCAGCCTTTCCACTACAAGTACAGCGAGCAGGGTAAGGAGCTGAGTGGTAGGAAAGCTAAGATGGTTGCGGCGCTTGAGGCAGATGTCGACCCCACTGAGATGAAGATGAACAGCAAGAAGCACTTCAAGGCCAACAAGAGGAGGGCGAAGAAGGTGCGGTCTGAGTATGTTGATTAGATGTTGACGGGAATGAGGAATGGAAAAGGGAAAAGGAAAGGACGGGAAGGTTATGAATGCATGATCGGCGTTTGGATTTGTGTCTTGGGATGATATACCGGGAATTCAATGCATAGAATATAAAAGTCAAGTTGTCACCTCTTTCTCCTGCTTTGATGCTACGTGCGGCTTATATAATCCTTCTCATTCGAGATAGCTCGCTGGACTATGTCTGTTCAGATGGTGGCTGTAGCGGAGAGCAGGCGCTGGGTCGCAACTTCACGCAGGTCCACCAAGTCATTGGTGCTATTTGCTGAAATCCACGCCAAGCCAAAACTTGCCTAATCGGGACTGCTGTCACGTTTTCTTCGAGACTTGGTACAAAAGTCGCCAGAACACGTGGGATTTACATGATGCATTGTAATGTTGAAATGTCACTGCGATCGATGGTTTAGCGAAGACTTGCCAGAATGGGACAGCGTCCGCCGGAGTGAATGTGTCCACTGTTGTCCACAGCTTCGGCTGTCTTCCCATCATCTCACAACACCAAGGACTTATCTCCCGCCAGTGTATTTTTTTGCCCTTGTCCTTCTCTTTGGGGAAGGGCGAGCCATCACTGTCAAGGGGGTGACATCGCGACAATACCAGAACATCATGTAGTTCACGGATGCACGTCGGGAGAAAGGCTGAGTATGCAGAATGCATATTGTTGTGACCAATAAAGGTATGAGTTGGCAGTTAGCCATTCTCTAGAGGGAGTTAGCTTACGGCACTGCACTGCAATCTCTAGCGCGGAAGAGCAGGTCAGAAAGCAAGGCTGAGAAGTAGCCTTTGCTGCGCCATACTGACCGGACAGCAAATGATTGACATTGGAGGAGAGAATGTTGCACTGCAATCTCTAGCGTGGACGGGCTGTTGCTGACCTCGGGAATGTAAAAGCAGGCTGTGCGCACGATAGGTAGCAGGGGTGTAACCAATGGCAAGTGCTATCTCGTTCAGAGGTTCACCGGAAGGATGTCGCGTATGCAAGTTTATTTGAGGTGCCGCTCTAGTGCTCCCAGCCACCTGTGCACTGCAATTTCTAGTGCGGAAGAACAGATAGAGTGACCAGGCTGAGATGACGAGGCTGTAGGATTCCAGGCATGACAAGCGAACGGTTCTGCACTGCAATGTTCAGCGTAAGAGAGCAGACAGTACACTTCCGAAAGAGGCATCGGGCTCTTGAGCTCTGGGACGAATTTGTGGTTTGATCATGAATCGCATTTTCTACTAAACACCAAAACATCTAGCCCATGTCTAAAATTGAACGCCCAAGATTTGAGAAACCACTTCATAAAGCGGTCCTCCAAAGAAAGAGAAGAAATCATCGGAAGACCCAGAATGAGCGAAGTAGAAATCCAGAAAAGCCCCTGCGAACAGTGTGACATGTCCTCCTGTAGCGCCCATCCCTGTTTCCTGCGGAATTGTTCCATGCCCCGAAATGTGTGACCGATCTGTTTATGCGACGCTGGCGCAGTTGAGGGCGTTGACGTTGACGATACCCTGTTGGTGTTGCAGATTAGTATGAGTTGATGGAGGCGAGCGTGAAAGGGCATGACTTACATCCTCTTGGTCACCGATGTCGCAGCAGCGGATGCTGCCATCGCAGCCGGGCTGCTGGACGCTGATGGGGAGAGTGACGCACTCAAGGGCGCCGACGAGCGCATCCTTGGAAGCGCAGCAGACTGCCCTCTCGTTTCCGCCCTTGCAGATGGTGTTTCCGTTGCCGTTGCCTTGGGGAACAGCGGAGACGGCGACAGCCAGGGAGAGGATGGTGATGAAGAACTGCATGTTGAAGTTGTTGTTGGGATCGAAAGAACGATTGGGAGTTGTAAGAGTGAGTGGTGTTGTGGAAGTGAAGATGCTTGTTGTAGTGATTGTTGTGATGAGCTGATGATTAAACTTGGAGTCGAGGGTGTCAGATCTTATATACACATCTTCCGTGTGCTGAACATCGTGTCTCTTCTGCTCTGAGGTCTTCTTTCTTGTTTCTTTTTCGCGCTGGTCTCATACAGTCCGGTGAGGATACAGGAGATCGTCCAATGGAACGTGCAAGAATGCCAGACCGACAGTTGCTGAGAGCATGTTGAGTGCCAAGCGCAAGCTTTCACGAGACCACTTTGTCTTTTGCATAGTGTCAGAAGCGTTGGGGTAGCAGGGTGAGGTACGACACACTGAAGCGAACCGTGCTTCGATGTTTCGCACATTCGGTACCTGATTCTGCTAAGGGTGCAGTGGCCCCTCTAGCCTCATCAGGGAAAAGAACTACAGCGGATATGGTGATAATCCGCAACCAGAGAGCGGTCAATCTGCTGCATTCTGGAGCTGTCTGTGTTAGTCGCTGCTGTAAGTAACGGATCTACCTTGGGGTGGTGTGGTGGGGGTAGATGTCACGGTGGGGTGCAGCCGTTGTTGCCGCCTCCCGCATGCCACTCGGCTTCTGTGCTAAGCTCGATGAGGAATCGCCTTCCCACACCACGTACCCAGGCAGCGTCAACCTCATCGACCGCCTGAAAGAAGCAGTCTTTGAAGTCCCCCGAGTGGCACGGGAGAGACTCAGCGAAACGACAGCCTCGTCGACCAGCCTCACCGACAGCATCCCCATCGCCTTGGCGCCTCCCCGACCGCCTGAAAGAAGCAAAAGTCATCCAGTACAAGCGCATCTTTTCACGGTTGGCAGATGAACTTTGTATAGCTCTGGCACGACGTGCTATTGAGCTTTGAACATGTCTGGGAGCTATTGACGAGCATCGCAATTAAATTTACAATAGATGGCATTGTCTACCAGAACCATTTCGATGTAGACTTGCTCCTTCTAGATTGGCCTCTACCCCTGCACGACTGGCTGATCGACTTTCGGCTATCTCTAGGTGTCGATCAGACATGGGAAATTCGTGGGGCCGCAAATTCCCATATTGAGATGTTAAACACAAGGGTGACTAGTGAATGAAAGATGTCTGGGCAGATAGATGACACTCCTCTAACAAGATGCACTATTTTGGGACTGCAACAAAGATGGGAACAAAATCCAAGGCGCACTCTGTTCTCCGTTGAAAAGAAGCAAAGCTCTACGCTCGCTCACTGGACGCCACCAAACGGATGCTATCTTCCGACGATTGTTCGGTCGCGCGCGTCGTTGGGAAAAGGACTGTAAGCGAAGGCTACCTGGACATGTTTCCGGTGAGTACATCTTTGCGGTGAGTGTCGTACTATTCTTCCACGTCACGCTCAATCTGATCTATCCACACTGTTTACTGCTAAAGCGTTCCCAACGCATACCTAGTACTCTGATAACGCATACCGACTGTCTAGCGATTGAAGATCTGTCTTCGCACCGGCCCCAGTGACTTCCAAACGCCGATCTGAATCTGGCCGACCAATTCTCTCAGCACATCCACCTTGCCATTCCAGTAGCAAAACATCATAAGCGCCCTTCGGATCATTCCGCTTCGATAGTGACTATTCATCATATTGGTCTACCGGATGGAGTGTGGGACGTAATTTGAAACTCTGCGGTACAATGGCTCGTGGATCTTGCACACCATCCGTCGCAAGAGCAACAATTGTGGAAGGCAGTTTCGCTACTTTGCAGCCATTTGTGCTGAGTACGGAGCGTTAATTCTGCTCTACTTTAAGCGATTCGATAAAATTCTTCTCCTTCTGAACATGGTCCGCTTCAATTTGGCTGCTCGAGAACCAGAAATTGGACGTGAATCCGACGAGGAACAAGATATCTGGGTCTTCGGCATCCTTCCGTTTCGGTCCAAATGCCGCATCGAACCAAAGACACGCGCCCTTGGACCCCGACAGAGCGCGACCCTCGCATTCGAAAATCGTCTCCCGCAAGCTTTGAGCGTATCGGGAGACCTTGACGATGAACTGCTCGATAGTGATGGCTTTTTCATCGGAATTCTCGATGAGCAGAGGCGGTGGGGGTGGATTGTCATCGTACCTCTCCCAGCACTCCCAAGCTTCGACCATGTCAAATGCTACACACATTCGTGAACGCGGTACTTCGGTAACAGCTTCATCAGCTAGGGGGTGCTTTGGATCCACCAGCATCGGCCGCCAGCTCGGCTCGCCCTCTTCATTGGAGTCGATGATTAGAACGGTAGATGGTGGGGCGAGTAGGTCCCAACGTAGGCGGTCTAAAGCACTCGTGTGCAAGAGGCTCTCCTCCTCACGAGGAACCTCTTCAGGAAGGAGGCGGAAGTTCCTACTTGCCTCGGCGAAATCTATCGACCCTGTCGCGATGTGGATTCCATTTGTAGGTTTGCAAGACAGATGTTCTTTGAACAGCCTTTCTCTTTTCATCCATTCTCTCCTGAACTCTTCCGCTGAATTTGACCGGCTAGACATGAAGTGAAGAGGAAAGACATCTTCCATGCCACCACTATACAGGCTCTCCAATCCATCAGCTGAATCATAGTAAAGACAACGGCTCTCCTTTTCCGCCGCCGAACTCACATTCTCAATCTCGTCAATCAACTCTCGCAAGCTTTTCGCATATGCTGAAACTTCTGTGACAAATTGCTCAACAGTGATAGCTCGTCTGTCTGTGTTATGAATGAGTAAAGGTGGTGGACTCTCGTCGATCATACCCAAGCATTCCCAGTGATCGATCATGGCTAGCATGATAGGGATGCGGGAAGTTGGTGGTGAGGTTACTGGGTCTTCGGCTAGAGGATGCTTGGGGTCTGCTAACAGGAGTTTCCAGCATAGCTCGTTTGCTTCGTTGAGCTCGCTTGCTTTGTTGAGGTCGATGACCTCGACTGTCGATGGTGAGGCGAGGACGTTCCATCTCAGACGGTCTAAAGCTTCTGTCCTCAGGCTAACATCGTCGTCTTTGGGTATGGTTTGCAAAGGCAGTGTATCAGAAGAGCTTCTGCTCTCATCAGCTGCGTCGTGGTAGGCTTGCGATACTGCCTGGCCTGGATCGAAGGTTCCCTCGCCGGAAGTGACTGGTGAATTCATCCCGAACTCGCAGCGTCTTACTAGAGGTTTTCGGACAGAATCTTGTGTTGAGAGGGGAGGTTGACGAAGAAGCATGGGACATGCGAGTGCGTCCACGAGATTGCGTCCCTTACTCTAAATTCCGGCAGAATATCGTCCTTCGCCAAGGTGGCGTGGTCGGAAGAATGCCGTCCGCGCAATACCTACCACATGCGACCTTCGTTGGTATCATCGACAATATTGCTCAAAAGTCGGAGAGAACAGTGACATGGTGCTAGAATAATGTTCGCTGAATCTGTTGCTTGTAACATAACCATGACTATGCAAAGGTAGATCGTAGCCCAAAGGGTATCATCGAAAACAACATCAAGAACGCCGGAGGGGCTAAGATGCGTGGCTTTCGACCCGAGTATCAACGGTGACACAACAAAAAAGCTGCTGCGCGGTACATATGCGACTTCGGAAACGCAACCAGTAGGAGGATCACGAGGATATCTTGACAGATGAATATGCCATCTTGAGAATGGGATAAATTTCCCAAATCAGTAGAGCGCTCATGGTGCGACTGATGCTATTGGCAATAGCTTGCTTACGACCTTGGCGGCTTCCACACCATCAGCGGCTGTTCATGAACAGGCCCGCCAAAGCTGGTGAAATCCAGTCGGTAGATCTCGACATATTCGAAGTCATGTTTCTGGTAAAAGCGATGGCCCACGGGGGTAGACGCTAGATAAATCGGAAGACCAAAATCTTTGGCACGCTGCTTTCCCCAATCTAAGAGGAGACTTCCTGCACCTCTGCCCTGGAACTCTGGATGCGTGTATAGCAATTGAAGGTCTAAGATTCGTTAGCATCGAGGCGGGTTGAGTTCGCTCAGCGACACAGATAGCGCGCAAGCCTACAAAGATACGGCCTCTCCCCAATGATCGTTCTCCTTCGCTCTGCCATCCCTTCAAAGAAAATCTTGCAGGCTTCCGCATTCATCCCAGGACCAAGGAGCAGAGGTTGGAACGAAGCGAGTGCGGCCTCGGCGGTTTCGAAGACGTGCCACTTCGCCCATGCTACCATTTGAGCAGTCTCTTCATCGAAAGCCTGGATCAGATGAACACTAGAGTCGTTTTTCCTCGTGTCGATGATCTGCTGGATTCTTTGTTGTGATGCTCCCGGAGGGAAAGGGCCTGGGTTTAGGATGGGACCGAGAGGGTTATCTTTGAAAGCTAGAGACTCGATCTCGCAGCCTCGCGCGATGTCGGTGTCGGAAACCTCCCGCAGAATTATTGTCATGCTAATGAGTATTGATGGAAAAGGAGGATATCGTTGCAGGTGATGTGAAGAGTGGATGCTCTGGTTGCGCGGCTGACTGAGCGCCTTAATAGGGCAGGTGCATCTTGAGTGTCGCCCTTACGCCCTTTTCGTGTCACGTTGCGGAGCGAGCGATACGGCAGCTCAATTTTGCTGCACCGAGTCTGTCTTGAGTGGTACACCGCGGAGGAAAGCAGGACGCATGGATGCGCTTCACCCGAAAATGGCCTTGTTTGTGTCTTTCTACAGAAGACAGGTTCGTCGACGCTACTCGATGTCAGATCAAGTCCTCATAGGAGTGCACACCTTTACTTGCGAGGCCGGTGGGGGGTCACAGCTTTGCCGGGCGGCAGCTGAGCGTGTTGAAGAGGTCTATCCGATCATGAACGGGGCTCTTACTCATAGAGGACCCCTTCAGCGGCTTAGTGTCTGTGTAGAAAGGCAGCAAGAGGCATATTCACCCTGAGCGATCGAACCGGCTGTGCTGTAACCTGTTGCGGCTGCCGTGCTGCCGATGGCCTTCCTTGCTCCTTCGATCCGTGATCAGAGTCGGCCTCAACGCCACTACGGAGTTCGATGTCGTGTGAGAGAGTCACATTGGAAAATGAGATTTTTGCTCCCGACCTAATCAGTGAACAGAGCTGCAGGCGTTTTGGAATGATGGCTTGTGTAACGACGTTTGGCAGCGGCATGTGCAGTCTCGGAAGGGGCGACCGACTGTGCTGATTACATAACATGATTCTTGCATCATGATGGATTATAGCTATCCATGACCTAGGTACACCTACGTGTATGATTCTTTCCTCGTATCTGTTTCTTGTAAACCCCTGGCCCTCTACAATCCTATGGTTGCCATCCACTTCACCCCATAGTACTGCGATGACGCAGAGCGAAACGAGCCACTCACGACTTCCGCAACATCAACAACCTTGACGAAAAGATACTCTCACAAATGAGAGAAATCGCAAGTATAATACACTGGCCCTCTACAAGACGTAGCGCCTTCGTGCCTTTAGCGGCAGACAGCTTGCTCCCATATACCGAATGAGGGCAATCGCTACTTCGAACATCTTTTCTGATCTTGCAGTCCGATCATTTGACTGCATATGGACCGTTCGGAATCATGATGAGTTGTCCATGTTTAGGTACTCCGCGAGCCAACTAAGGTCACGTGATGGGACTCATGGCACGGCTCCGGCGTAATGACTAAAGAAGCTGATTAGAATGTGCTCCCATCAGTGACTTCATGAATACCAGAAGAGAACAGAAGCCATTTCAAGATGGGAAAGATAAACCCACTAGAAAAGCTACACATAACGCGGGAAATGCCGTGAGCGAGTCGTGCACATCGGGTACATCAACCGCGAGCGAGCAGAAACGAGGAAAGCCAAGTGCAGAAAACCGATGACGAGGCTCTGAACGATTTACCCAAGATATAGTTCGGATGAGCCTCATAGGAAGAAGACGATACCTAGGCACATGTGAGTCCCACTAAACCCAGTCTCGGTACAAACAGACCGAGGAAGCAAGTAACGACAACGAAAGAAGCAACGTTACGAACCCCCTGTTCCCCCTTTTGTTCTTTCCCACCTCCCTCTTCAGGTGTATGTAGCCATCACCACTACTACCAAGAGCTAGGTACCAAACATCACACATCCTACACACCGCCCAACGCGGAAAGACCGAAGCCCAAAAGAAATAACCCACCAAAACGCCGGAGCGTATCAAATCTCACACCAACAGCACCACCAAGCAATCGCGATCCAGTATACCGCCATTACTCATCAGCCTGCACTACGGGTACTAGCGCGAGGCCCGAGCTCATCCTTCCGCGGACCCTCTCTCTCCCTCTTTCCTCCCCACTCAAAAATTGTGAATGAGACCCGGCACACCGGCGTTTTGGCAGCGAAAAGTAACGCACAGACGCTCATGGGCAAAACTGTGAAATGGCATGGCAGCGGATGACGCGGATCGAGGATCGTTGATCTAGATTTGCGATGCTTGCTGTGTAACTTTGAGGCTTGTGTGTCGTGTGCGGGACGGGGAGGGTTCTAGAATTTTGCGAAGGGGGCATGGGTTGCAGGTTTTTTGCTTGGACTGGTTATAGTGAAGGATATGCATATGTGGCTATCTCAGTGGGAAGGTTTGTGCCTTTTCGCACTGTCCTTTTGCATTCTGCGTTTCCGCTTGTTTAGCTAGCTGTCTGTTGCTCTCGGGTATAACGGCGTTGCCAGAGTTTGGTCCATGTGTGTGTGTGGGTGTGCGGAAAGCGTTGGGGTTACTATGGTAAGCTCGGAAGCGATGGATGGGGATGAGGCTTTTCAGAATTTCGTCCGGAGATGCGCGGGTTGCTGGGATTGGCTTTGGGTGCGATGCTTGTTCTATTCTACGTACCTGGGTGCTCTGCAAAATTTGAGGAAACCACCGAGGGAGCTTGGGATGCTGCTCACTTGAGCATGTGCAAGGACACGTGGAGGTAGCGTAAAGTTTACGTTTTACCATGACGATTCTTGGAGGCATGTCGCAGATGTCTAGCGTCGGTCGTTTTGTACGAACCTTGAACCTTGTAGTCGTGATGGCGACTTTCCTACCTGAGCATTGATTGTGGCCAGGGCCTCCTACTACCGACGGAGCAGTGGGCTGATCATGGTGCTCCTCCACGTTGTGTCTGCCCAGCAGGCGTTTTATAGGTTGCGGCCAGGTAACCCGTCAAGGTGGGTATCCCTACCCGGAGACACTAGACGCAAGTAAGGGCCAGAACGAGAACGAAGAGGTCGAGAACCTCCGTGCGACGACCCTGCCAGCCCCGAACGGGCCGATCAAGATAAAGTCAAGTTCTGCATGTACGAAATATGGACAAATTGAAAAGACCATGAGCAGGGGCTGCGGTTCAAGTACAACCGGGGTTTGCGCGCAAAACACAGGACAAGTCCGAGCGAGATGATGCAGGAGAGTATGTTACATTACGAATGAGAGTAATAAGAATACAGAAATGGATAACTCCAATGAAACTACGGTGACAAGAGAACGATGTGGGAAGGAGAGCATACTCAATTACCCACACGAATCCAAGCACTAGCTTCGTATCCTACGTGTTTCTTGATCTCGTCTTGCCTATTAGAAGATCATGTCATCGTCAAGTTTTCGTTCCTCGGTGATAAAAGATAGCAGAAGCGAATGGATGCAGAAGAGCTCAATCTAGCGCCCACTGCCCGGCAGTGGAGGGCCCGACAAAACTCTTCCAATTGTAACAAAGAGGCGCATCGTTACCTCTCGAGCTCCAAGTCGTCCTAACCGAGTTCAACGGTAAACGAGCGTCTGGTACATCAAGTGCTATGCAATGAGCCCGATTGAGGCCTGACACATGCCTAGAATGTTCGCATCTGGGGCATCATGCCGGTGGCTACACCGGGCGGCATTACCGGTGCACCGGCAGCCGACGGGCCCATTCGATGAAACATCTGGACCAGGCGCTCTCCAACACTGGGTTCGAGTTCTGTGCCATCCCTCGCAATCTTGACTTCGCGATTCGCATTCCATGGGTTGCGGAGGCCACGAGTGCGGTAAAATGGTAGGCGGTTCGTAGAGACCCACTCGATTTTGAAAGGCTTGCCCCAGCTCTGCGGAACGGCTGAGGTGTCGGCTTCAGTTTGTTGCGGCGCATCGTCTCTCTCAGTCTTGTCGTCATTGTCTTGTGCTTCTTCTTCGCCGTCTGTTTC